GTCCCTCGGGGACCTTCGCCGGTCTGCACCCCAGTCACCCCACGGGGACATCTCCTCCCTCTCCACCCGACACATGTTCCTGTCTCCTCGGAGCACCCCAAGGCCGCAGCCCGTTACGGTGCCCTGTCTGCTCCCTCGAGCTCTTACAGCTTTGGGGCCGTTCTTTGTGCTCTCCTGTCCCCGTTCCCCTCCCCAGATGCTGGCTCTGTGGGGACAGCCCTGGAAGCAGCAGTGCCTGTAGCCTGGGCTGACACCCCCATCTTCCCCGGGGGTCCCTCAGCAGCAGCACGGGGCTGTCAGGGGTCACCTTCTCCTGCCACAGCCCATGACTGCAGTGGGGACATCTGTGAAACGCTCCCTCCCTTCCTCTGCTCCCTTGGCTGCTTGTCAGACCCAGCTCTGCCAATGTGCAGTGAAGATGTGGAAAAATACCCGAGCTCTGTCTCCTTGATGCCCCCGTGTCCCCCAGCCTGCCGCAGCCGGAGCCAGCTCACCCCAACCCCCTCCTTCCCCAAATTTGTGTGCCAGGACTCCTGTATGCTCCTGGGGGAGCTCAGTCTCCCCATGCCCCCTCAGCTGAGCCCCCCAAGTGCAGGCAGCCTCCAAACCCCACACCAGGCATCGTGGAAGGCTGCTGAGACCCATCCTCCGAGCAAACCCCTGGCTCCTGCGCTGCCCCTGCCCTGCCTGTCCCCTCCGCGCTCCTGGGGGGACATGTCCGGACCTCCCCAGCTCTCTCCCATGCAGACCTGATCCTCCTCTCCCTTCACGCTCTACACACAACCACCCAAGGGAGCCCCTGCCAGAAGGGCAGTGTCCTAATTTCTGTATAGCCTGGGTGCTTCCTTTACATGCCCTCGTGGGCACGACTCCCTGGGAAAGGAGCCAGCTCTTCCCTTTGCCGAGTGCGTGTCCAGCTGTAGGAAGCCAAGCTCTTCCTGGCAGGTACAGGGTTTTCCTGCCCCCTTGCCATGTTGCACGCCCTGAGAAGAGATGGCACGGCTTGGGGATAGCTTTTGGGTAGCTGTAGGTGCCCCCCATCTCTAGGTGGGGAGAGAGCCCCCCAACTTCCCCGCTGTGGGGAGGTCTTTGCCTGCTGCAGCCCTCTGAAGAGGGGAGCAGAGCTGGGCTCTCCATCCCGAGGCCGGAGAGCAGCAGTTTCGTTCCCCAAACTGGAGTGCATTCTCCCCTCCATCTGCCTTCCTCCTGACTGCCCTCCGGGCTGCGTTATCTGCTGGCCACAGGCTCCGGCAGAGGCTGTGCTCGCTGCCTTCCCAAGCTTTGGGTCTGATACGGCACCGATAAATATTTTTCAAAACAAAAGCCAGAGCTAGGTGAGCCTCCCAGGACTGCTTGCTCTCCTTCCCTGCCCGCAGCGTGCGAGCTGCGTGCGTGGAGCCGCCGTGCTGTCGCTCTGGCCGCGGTAGCCGGCACGTAGCTGTGCCGCCGTGCCATTCTGCACGACCGCAGCTGGGCTATTTACGGGCCTGCACAGATGCTGTGCCAACGTGCTGGGGCTCAGGGCACCGGGGTGGGGGATTAATTGGAGACTTTCTGAATCGGGAGCGCAACTGTCAGGATACCAGGCAATGTCAGGTCTCAGCTACAGTGCGGAGCCTACACCTTCATCATTTTAATGAGATGTGGCATAATAAATTTAAGGGCAAAAAGGAAGCTGGAAGCCCAGCACTGAGCCTGGAGGAGAGGCGTGTATTTGAGCAATGTGCCCTGATACATGCGCACCATCAGGGCTTGTGCGCTGCCACGTGCCCTCCGTGTTGTTCCTAACCCGTAGCAGCGATGGAGCTGCCTTACGAAGTGAGCAGGTATAGGGTGTTGCTCCCGAGCACATCACCCACGGGGCCGCCCACTCGCCGCTGGTGCTTGGCCACGCTCGCAGGCTGCCCTGGCATCGCCCACGCGTGTTACCATGGGTCTGAGCACCCAGGCTTCATGCTGCTGGCTCTCGTCTCTCCGGTGCAGCCTCTTTGCACAGAGGGAGTCAGAAGTTACACGCGGCAGTGGGATGCTGGTTCTGCTGTCATTAGATTTTTTTTTTTTTTTCCCCCCTTGTGATGCTAAGCAAATTAGCAAGCTGTTAATGAGCTCCCAGGATAGGTCACGGGAGGACCGCTGCAGGGATGGAGAGGTTAGCATATGCTGTTCTGTGTTTGGGCAGGGAGCGCGCGGGGATGCTTGCTTTGCGATGGAGAACAGGTCTGGCCCGTCGTCTGCATCTCTTCAGCTCTTGGCTGCTTGACTTCAGTTTGCTAACATCTCATCTTTAGGAAGCGGCTTGCCAGCTCTTTGTGTTTAAAGCTGTTTGTTTTGAATGCAGGAAGATGATTTAACAACTAAACCACTTTCAGATTATAGAAAGAAAATGAGGAAATATTGCTCTTGGCTTAAACCTCTCCTAGGAGCGCTCCACCCAAAGCGAAGTGCACGGTGCTTGCAGCTACTGCTGGGTCAGCGGGGTCCTCCCTGCGCTCGCTGAGGTTCAGGGGCCAAGTTTTAAATCAGAGCCTTCCTTCTGCTAAAAACAAACCTTGGCTTGTCGGAGCCAGTAGGTCCCTGCTGCCGGCAAGCCGGTGTTTGAGCCGTTTCCCTGTGGGAAGGGGCT